CGTCTTTCCCTTCTAAATAATATAATAAATAGTATTAATATTAATATTGATATTAATATTATTGTTGTTCCAAAATATATTTTCTCGACGGAAAAAAATTAATTGAATGATAATTTTTATATTATTTTGATATAAACAATATAAATAAAATTTAATTTATTTATATTGTAATTAATTATATATAATAAAAAAAAATATATATATATATAACATATATATATATATTTACCTTATTTCTTTTTTTTTTTTTTTTTTTTTTTTTTCAAATAAAAAAATTTTTTTCAAATATTATTTTTTTTTTTAAAAAGAAGATTTTCTTCAAAAAAATTAATAACAACAATTATTAAATTAAATAAAATAATAATAAATAATTAATAAATAATATTAATAATAATAAAAATAATTAATAAAAATGTATAATAATCAGCAACATTCCACAACCACAACCACTACCACAATATTACCACAACCTATTATTACTACAACAACCAACAACAGTAATATGGATTTCTCGCATGTGAATGGTAGAACCACAAAGGATAACAACAATACCTCCGTAATGTCTATAAATCAATTATGTAATACAGACACCGATTATCCTGACGAAATAAAAGAAGCTGCTGCTGTCTTAGAAACAATGAAACAAAAACCTGTCGTCACATCAAGTATAGGTAAATTTTAATTTGTTTGTCTTATGGGTAATTTTTATAAAAAAAATAATTAATTAATTACTTTCTTCTCTTATTTTAATTTTTTAATTTTAGAATCAACAGAATCAACGGAATCAACAACAACAGATTCCTCTTCACCTCCTTCACCTCTTGAACCATCACAAATATCATCTACCCAACCAACAGACGGTAGTTTCATGTCTAGAATAAACAATATAGGTCTTGTGCGAAAAACAATGAATGCTTACGAACAAGGCAAAGCAAATTCACCTTTTATAAAATACACAACAGAAATGGTCGAATCTTCAGTATCACTGATATCTAAACCTGTCATCGATAAAATACCACAATTAGCTCAGTTGGATCAATATGCTTGTAAAGGTTTAGATAAACTTGAAGAAATAATGGATAGTAATAATAATAATGATGAAACCGAAACTAATAACGAGAACAACAACATTGACATTAACATTAATAATAATGTTAGTAATGGTATTAACGGTAATGATGAAAGTTCAGGGGAATCACGTAAAAGAAGAGCGAGAGGTGATGGTAGTGACCATCCACGTAGTTCATCGCCGTCTTATCGTTCTCAAAGAAATCATCGATCGTCTCAGTCAAACGGAACTCAAAACTCAAACTCTTTCTCTCATCAAAACAATAACAATCAAATAACTTCACAATCATCATCAATATCTACAACGAGTAATA